TCAGTGAACCCAGGTCATCCCTATCTTCCTTCCGGGTTCTTCCTAGCTCCATGATAAGGGTATAGCAAGGTCCTCAAATATATCCCACAGGCTTTTGCTGCTTTTAGTATGTTTTAATGTTTTACTATTCCTCTGCAAACCGCCCTAGGAATTTAACTGAAGGACAGGGTGAAAATCTTGATAAATGATTAATTAAGGCTGCAGTTGTAGGCATACTTCCTAGGTAGTATGAAAGTATTCTATTTGCAATTAGTAGGGCTTACTTTTGAGTAGTTTCAGAGGGACTCTGCTGAAGGTAACTATATAACACATGCTTTTAAAAATAGGTTTTTTCCAGTTTAATCTTAAACCTATCTAGTCTCTCTCTCTCTCCCTTCCCTCCCTCCCTTTCTCTCTCTCTCTTGCATACACACACACACACACACACACCACTATACCGAGCTATGAATCACGGCTCCACTCAGGGATACAGTTAGGTAACTCATGAAGGTCAATATATGTGTCCCAGGATAATGTTTCAGGATCCAATCTGGGTCATGCACCGGGACCAGAGGTTTTGCCTTCTGAGCTTTTGGACTCGTGGGGCATCCCATCTTCAGGGAACCTCTCTCTACCAGAGCATGTTACTATTAGACAGAAATTCCTTGAGGATGAGCTCCAGCATAAGTCTGAAAGCTCGGAAGACAAAACCTATCTGGTCCCAGTGAATGACCCTGATTGGATTCTGAACAGTTAGGTAATTTTACACTTTCTTTTCTTTTTTCTTTCGTCCCCCTCCTTCCTTTTGAGATATTAATATAGGTGTATTTTGCTTATTAGAGACTATGATGCACCACCCCTGACGCAAGTCAGAGCTGCTGCTGAATGTAACCCTGAATGTTTTTTCTTTAGTCTTGCCTTAGTGGCACTGCTGCCTGTGTTCCCTGCTCCAAATCTTTTGAAGCTCACCACTTTTTGCAAAGCAGAAGAGAGAAGATTTCATTTTATTATTTTATTCCCATCCACCCCCATTTTGCAGCATGAATTTTATGTATGTAAGATAAATAAAAAAAAGATGCATATTTTTAGAAAAGTAAAAAAAAGAATCCTGGCTCTTAATAACTGAAAACCAACCAGGGTTGGTCACTCAAGGCTCCCTTCCACCCTCCCTCCATTTCTCTCTCTCTCTTTCAGTAGGCAATGTTTGTTTTGGGACATTTTCAAAGGTGAGGCTTTCATCAATTTGTTTTTCATTTTCTGTATCTAGAATGTAAATTTAAAATTCTTCCACTGGCCGTGCTAGCTGGGGAATTAAAAGAGTGCCAGGCTCCCAGAAGGATACCGCTTTGGGGTGGGCTGGACTAGAATATGCATTATTAGTTTTAAAAGGGGATAACCTACTTTCTTTATCTCATTAATAGTCATTAATGGCACATTTTATTTATCTATTTGGGGGGCATCAGGTGTAAAAACGCTTTCTTTCGGCTGCAGAGTAAGCAGCCTAATAGTCACAAAAGCAGGATTCCAGCAGGAATTTCAATTTAATTTTCTCAGCGCTAGTGATATATTTTAATGTGAGGTTGCCATTCTCACCTCTCACCTCCAATTCTATGGCTAGGAACTTCCTGGACTAGGAAAATTCAGAGTCCATCATTCTATTGGCCTTCACACTGTTTTCCAGAATGAGAGGTGCTCACAGCTACTGCTGTGTCCAGGTAAAAAGTTCTAACAAAGTAGCTCAGCAACTTAAAATATATCCAGTTTTACTGCTGACTGCTCGTTGAACTAATTTGGAAGTGCTGAAGTTTATCTATCTAGGACATAACTTTTAGCCAGGTTGTGAGTAGCTTTGGTTCTATTTTCCTCTTTAATCTGGTGGGACAGTAGAATAAGATTTCAGTGGAGACGTTGCCCTCAAAAATGACTCCCGGAAATCTTTTATGTGTGCCCCTCCCCCCCAACCCCCATCAACCAAGACTGTCAAAACATCCCATTTAGGAGTACTTTTAATCAATAGAACTTAACTACTTCCTTGAAATTTACTAGTTTGAAGAGAACTGATTATAGCTAAAGCTTTCTCCATAAGCTTAATTTTTATGTGGGAGAAGGCTGATATCCATGGGGCACAGGGAAGGGAAGGTTAACTCTTCCCTCACAATCTATGCATACCTGAAAATGTTCTCCCCCCCCCCCCATCATTTCACTAATGTCTGTATTGGCAATAATAGAAAGTTTCTTCCTCAACCGTCCTTGTCTATATTTTAAATTGCCAGATTGGGAGACCAGATTTTTGCAGTTTGAAGCACATGATGGAGAGGTGGTTAATCTTTCCTGCCCCTGATGCAAGCCCTCCATGCACCTACCATTAAGCTTTTTTGGGGGGAGGGGGAAACTACTGCTATTAATGAAAAATATAAGGACAATTGATTCAGGGGAGAGTTCTCCTTGATTTGTGCCTTGCAAAACTTCTGCTTTTTATAGACAAAGATTTGGACTAGACTATCATAGTCCAGACAAATCTACATCTTTGGCCTGAAAAGTCATTTTTGCTAACCAAAGTTAGAATAGCCAGGGGCCTATTAGAACAGGGCATTAACTTGCGCTTAAACAGTGTTCCCATTTAGTTCTCCTGACACTCCTAAACATGCTTTAGAGGCACCATGCTCATGTCTCTAAGCATTCCTGGTCTAACACATCTGGACCATTGCTGCTTTTTGGTTCTGCTGCTTGCTACATCATCTGACATGAAGCTGTGTGATTGGTTTATCACAAGTTACAGTGATGATAGTAAGCTTAGAAGCGCTTGGAAAACACCACAGTGAATTAAACCAGTAGTCCACATACTGTAGCTCAGCCTCTATCTCCTTTTTTTAGCCAATCCTTTTGTAAGGTCCAGAAGTAGAATATGCTGAACTATCTACATGCTGAAATATTCATCCCCAGCATTTGATAGTCATGCTACAAACAGCCTCAACAATGAAAATTAGAATTTTTGCTGTCTTGGCTAGCAGTTCTAATGGACCCCATAATCCAATAGTGGCTAGGTTCTGATGCCCATCTGTCATTTGGTTGTACAGATTCTTGTAAAGGTTGCTGGACTATAAGGACTTAATTTGATCCAGCCAAGTTTTGCTTATATTTGTCGAATTATTTATATCTCACCTTTAAGGCCTAAGTTCATGTTACCTTCTTAAAGATTGAGAAAGTAAGTAAATTTCCAATTATTTGGTTTGTATGATTTAAGTAGGATTTCTAGACCAATTTGCTTTAAGACATTTCCTTTTTAAAATCATTTATCTTTGGAAAGTAATAGCATCTTCTCAAATTACACTTCCACTTAACAGAGTTTCCAATCTGAACTAGTTTCGAATGACTGTACCACTTTGTATCTATCACACCTTCAGATTCAATGTTGGGTATATTAGTACAAGGAGACTTTCCGAGGTCTGAGCTGAGTTCTAAACACAGGGCTAAGACACTGCGAACAGGCACAATGACTTCACTGCACATCCAGATTCTGAAGATAGAAGCTTTATGGGATTTAGATGAACTGTCTTCCAATGGTGCAATTCAGCTGAGAATTTTCTGAATTCTCAGGTCTTTTGGTATTGCCATTGTTGACCCTGAATTAAGTGCTAGGGAAAGAGTCTTTGCAAAACTGGGGAGGGCAAAAAGCCAGTGGAAAGGCACGTGGTCACTCCTGTTCCCCTGGGAAGCCATATACTGTATGTGCAAATCCTACAAAGAGGCACAAAAAGCATTACCCCAAAGCACTGCCTACTCAAGATAAGAGAGAGTGATGCTTCACCAGGTTTCTACTCAGTATCCATACAGACAGCTGGAGCCTGGGGAACAGCGTTAGCCTCCACTATAAGCAGCCTTCCCTGCTCATGCGTTTCTTTAAAACTTCCATTAACCCCTAGCAGATTATGGGAGTTGTAGTCCAAGACAAGCACTGGTCTGAAAAAAAATGGCTGAGCTTGGAAACCTGGGATGAAAGAAGGAATCTCATCCAAGCCCTTTCACTGAATGGCTTGGTTTTATTTATACTATTTTACAGTTGGGTTGAGAGGAACTAAAACCGAAAAAGGACTCAGTATACATCGTACTGGGTCGTCTTCCTCCCCCCCGAAAGATAGCAAGGGGGAATAAGATTTAAAAAATGATAAATTGGTCAATTATCCTTTCCATCTAAACAATCAGAGCCACTCTGCTGCTGCTGCCTGAGGGATCATTGATATACCTACTTCCGAAGCAAATCCTGCTCAATTCCATAGGATTTGTTTCCACAGCTCAAAGAGCAAAGATTTCTCTGCTATCACTCAAGTCATTTCTTTCCCCCGCAGAAATTGTGCCTCGTTTTCTTCTCCTTTGGAACGAGCAAAAAAGAACATTCCGCCCCCCCCCCCACCCTCCATTAGGAACAGGGAAGACGATATCCAAATATTTTGGGTTTTTCCCATCCTAATAATTCCTTCATAGCCCTGAAATAAGAGTTTTGAGTCCGGAGTACATCGGCAGGATCGGGACCCCGCGCACGCGGAACTCGTGGCTAACCATCCATTGTCTTGGCGCGTCAAAGGGGCGATCTAAAACTGCCATTTGGTTTAAACGGGGAAAATAGGGAAGGTAGACGCGGCCGTCCCTTTTAAAACTCTCCCCCTCCCCCCCCGCCCTCACAAGGAGATCCTAAATCTCGAGGTGGAAGCGAGCCCACCCGAAGAATCCTGCCCAGGCTTTTCCAAAGCTGCCATATCACGGCTCCCATAACCGGCCTTTTACTTCCTTTCCCACCCAAAACTCAACGGAACGGTTGGAGTTTGGGGCGCCAGACAGGTGTCCGGAGCCGGGATGGGACAAACAGGTGTCCCCCGCGCGGTGCGCTCGGCCGGCGGAGAGCGGAGCGCGCAAGGCACCTGCGCGGGATCCGCTCCCAGCCCGAGGATCCCGCTAATCCCTGGGGCAAGGAACCCGGCTAGAGAGGCAGCAGGCGTGGGAAGGGGGCCGGGGTCGGCGCCTACCTGGGTCATGAGGCGGTCGGCGCCGGTGTTCTCCTCATCTTTGAAGATGATGTCCGGGTTGTAGTTGGGCGTCAGCTCCTTGAAGCGCTCCGAGTTGCGGGCGATCTTGCCTTCGTACCTGCCGCTTGCGCCCAGCGTCTTCTCGGGCACGTTGGGGCTGAACTGCTTGTAGGCGAGAGGGATAAGCTTCCTGGGCAGGCGGCGACGGCTGCCCACTACCCGGCCCGGCCCGCAGCCGCGCACCTCCGGCGCCAACAGGAGCAGCGCGCAGCCGCTGAGGAGGAGCAGCAGCCGCGCCGCCTTCATGGCTCTGACGGACCCACAGGAGCTCAGCGGGACTCGCTCCAAGAGGAACAGCAGCAGCAGCAGCAGCAGCGAAGGCGGCGGCGGCGGCGGCGGTGGCGGCCGGGCTGCCCCGGGAGGGGAGCAGCGGCCGCGGCCATGCGGCGAGGGGGGCAGGTGAGCTGGTCGGCCGCTCTGAGCCGGCCCGCTCCGGCCGCCGCCAATAAATAGCGAAGGCTCCGTTTGTTTTGGCTGCCGCGGTTAAAGCGTCGCCGCCGCCGCCGCCGCCGCCGCGCTCTAGCGGTCAGCGCTGCCGCCGGAGCTGCTGCTCTTTCTGACTGCGCCTCAGCTCGCAGGGCACGAGTGAGCGACGGAGAGGGGAAATTGAAGAAATCCGGATCGAGGACCGCCAGGACCGCACCCAGCCCGTGGCCGGCCCTCTCGCCCTCCCTTTCCTCCTCCTCTCCTCCTCCTCCTCCTCGCGGAACCTGCCTGCCGCTGCCAGGGCCCCGCCGACCGGGAGGTGGGCGGGAGGGGGGGGGAGGCAAAAGCCCGCCCGACCCACCTCCGCGGCTCGCTCACCTGCTGTCATTGGGGAGGCGGACGCGCGCCTCCGCCTCAGGAGTGCCGCCCTCGCCTTCGCCCTCGCCTCCCCCCACCTCCCGCCAGGCTCCCGTCTCCACGTGTTCCGGGCCGAAGGTGCCAAAGAGGTCATCGAGGCTGTCGTCCGAGGAGGAGCGCTGCCTCGTGCCAGGGGCGGCGTTGGCGCAGCCGAAGCCACTGTCGTTGGGTCTCGGGCTCCCCAAAGCGTCCCCGGGCGTCGAGAAGGTGGGGAGAGAGCGAGGCCCTCCAGGCCCAGAGCGTAATCTGAGGCTAATCGTAAAAAGGCCGGGAGGTGGAAAAGACGGCCCGCATTGATCCACGGCGGCTCTGGGCTACCCCCTCACTTCGCAGTCTGGAACCCGGCCCCTCGATCCGCCCCACCCGTGTGTTTGTGTGTGTTGGGGTGTCCCTGGCTCGCTCGCGTGCCCAGCTCTCTGGGCTCTGGCGGGCAGGGAGGGGAAGCTCAGCTGGTTGAAGTTTAACCACCACCTCCTGGGGCCCTATTGTTCGGCCGGAGGCCCGATATTTCCACAGCGGCTCGTAGGATCTGATTAACCGGCTGAGACAACAATGCCGCCTGGGCCGGGCTTCCCCTCGCAGCTGCCAGCGGGCAAAGTCAACACAAGGCCCGGGAGCACAGTCCCGGAGGAGCCAGAGCACTTCGTGGGAGTCGAGCCTTTAGTCCCGGACCTATTTCGGTGCCAGAGTTCAGCCCCGGAGGGCTGGCAAAGCCGCAGGAAGGAAGAGACGCCCCCAGAGCATGTGCAAAGTTATTTTCTGTGTCGAAGAAGCCCCCAGCCCTGGTGGAATGCAAGGCGGTTCCCTTTTCTAGAAATGGCCAGCCTGCTTCCTCCCTCTTTACTACATCTCGGGCTTTTTTTATTGATATGAAGGGAAACTTAAGGGAGGCACCTTTATTCCAATCTGCCTCTTTGCTTCTTTGCCCTAATAGGCAGGGTCTCTCTGGCAGGCTCCTGTCACAACCTTCTACAACTTGGGATCTGCAGCTCTGTTCCACCAGAAGCCTCTGTGTGCATCCAAGTGCAACGGAATCGCTTCAGGTAGGGGAAATGATGATGAGCCGCTTGGGAGAAACTTCCTTTCCAGCGAGAAGGGCAGGGCCATCCCTTCTGTAGGACCTCAGCATCGGAGTTTGAAGTGTAGCCAATTGCCCAAGCTCTCTGTTGGTAAAAATGGGAGAGGAAGATGGCAGAAGAAACCACATGAAACCTGAGCTTGCATGTAGAACCTGGGACTCATTGACTGGTGCATGCACTCTTTAAAGGTCGTACTTCAGCCAGCAGGAAGTGTTAAGACACTCCCATTGTCTGTGGCATTCAGTCACTTCTTGGCACCCTTGAAAAGAAGTCATACTGAGAGATCCTGCAGCAGACCTGGGAGCGGGAAAGAGTTTTCCATCTGGAGAGCAGCTTTTTTTTATTTATTTTTTGCAGTGGAAACCAGATTGAGCTATCCCCGGGGGGTCCTTATCCTGAAGCCTGGTACCCAGAAGGGGACCTAAACGCCAACCAATGGCGGATCAAAAAGATACAGGAAATCAGGCAGGAGATGTGTGGAACTGATGGGACAGAGAAAAGGCTTCCAGGGTCTCTGCAAACAATCTCCTGGGATTTTTCCTTGCTAGCATCTGGTGGAGATAGCAATGGCACAAGAGTCGACTTTCTTCTCCTTAGCTATCTAGGCACAAGGCCTGGAACGTCTTTTCTCTTCAGAACTGGCTCTTACATGCATCTGGGAAGGTTCAAGTTCAGAAAAGTTGAACTGCAAATAAACTGGGAAGCTAAAGCAGGTGGTTGCCCTCAAGAAATTTCTGACACCTCGTCATGGGCCAAGGCACTTTGATCCTACAGTGTGAGCTGGTGTGTCCTATGGGGTGGCCTCTAACTGTACCCTGCTGTCATTCTCATTGTTGCCAGCCCAGACACACTTCTGGAGAGCACCAGATGTGGCAAGGCTGTTCCCAGCCATATTAAAAAAATAAATAAATAAAAATACTTTCAGCTATTCTAATTGTCTTGTCCTGGCTGGTTTCAATTCAAATTTCCTCAAGGGTAACACAGCTTGAAAATGCAGCCCCCCCCCCCCCCCCCCCCCAAAAAAAAAAAAAAAAAAAAAAAAACCCCCCCCCCCCCCCCCCAAAAAAAAAAAAAAAAAAAAGTAACACCAAGAAGATGCTTATTCAAAATTCAGGAAAATAGTAATCTTACACCCAAATTCTGGATCTTCAACCTGGCAGTGGTTACAGTGTTTCCACAAATTTGTATCCCTGTTCTCTGGTCTTTCTGGATTTTTTTTTTCCTAGAGTGGTCATTCATAATTTTTTTTTCCTAGAGTGGCCACTCATAATTTTACTGCTGTCTGGCTCTTTGGTAACGTTGAATGGCCGTGCACTCCACACCATGCATTTTATGAGGGGCATCCATTGCTTCCTTTCAAAATCCCAACTATATTCCCAAAGAGCCCTGCCTCAGTCCAACCTTTTGTGTGTGTGTGTGTGTGTGGACTTTGCAATTCCCTGAAGTCTGACACGAACCGTTCAAGAGCCAGGGCTATGGGTGGAGGGGCTGTGTCTGGTTCTGAGGCGAATCAAGGGCGGCGCTGAGCAAGGAGACAAGAAGCGGGCTGATGCCCTGGCCTGGCAGGGCCTCCCCGCAAGAGGACACGCAGTCCAGGGGGCGCTCTTTCCTTATTTTTCAAATCCAGCAGTTCTCGGCCAGAAGAACGGGAAAGGTTCGATTTTGGAAGAGGCTCAGCCTCGTGCTTTGGGCTCAGCGTCCACGCGGTCCCGTCTGGGTCCGGCTGGTAAGGCTCGTGCGCGCGCACTGCGGGCGATTGGTCCCCCCCCCCCCCCCCCCCAGGTAAGCATGCCGTGTGCCTCCAATGTGCTGCTGGGGCGTTTTATAATCCAAGCGGACATCTTTACAACGGGGCAATAAAGAGCTTACTTCTTGCCGTCCCGCCTCCGATCGCGGGTAAGCCTAAGTAGGGGGAAAGGGTTCACACCATGCCCGCCGTGAGGGAGAAGACGAATCAAGTCTCTCTATGCAAAATCTTTGGAGACCCTGCAAGCTGATTACATGGAAGCGGAGTTTTTCTAAATAAGTGTGAAATCAACTGAGGCCTGAACTCCCACTCTCACACTTTGTAGACCCCGGAGTTTGCTGAACAAGAACGACGGAATCAGATTTGCCACTGAGCTACCTTCCCCGAAAGGAGCCGCCCCATTTCCCGGGGTACTAACGTGTTAGGAGACACCCCCGCCCCCGCCGCCGCTCCCTCCCCACCCTCCCGGTCCATGGAAGCTGATTTAGGGCCACTTTCTCCAACAAGGTGCCCGCTAGAAATTTTGGACTGCAAAACGATCTTGCCGATCATGTTGACTTAGGAAACGGCACTTTTGCGGTCTGGAGAACGCGACGTTTGGGGGAAAGCCGCTTTTATGCTAAAAAAAAAAAAAAGGAGCAGTGTTGGTTTTTAAGGGCGAGAGAAAGAGAGCGACCTTGTGAATTCCAGGGGCAGGAAATGATTCCTTGGAATTCAGGACCATCACCTGAACGTGGGCACAAGGCAGGGGCAGCAGATACAGAAGCTGCAAAGAGGGCGAGAGCTGAACAACAGAGGAAGAACTACTGGTGGGATGGACTGGAAGAGCAGTTCAATCGTCCTGCCTGGCTTTGGGGGAAAAATGTTTGAAGGATGGTCAGAAGGACAGAGTACGCTTACCCTGTGGAGGAAAGGCTGCAGACAGCCAGAATGGCTGATTTCAAATATCTGAAGGATTCCCATGTAAAGCAGCCGGTGGAATTGTTCAGAATTATTTCAGAAGGCAGGACAGGAATCAGAAGGTTTAAACTACAAGGAAAGAGATGGAACAAATTTCTCTAGGTGGAGTCTTTTCTTTTCTTTTTAATTGAAGTTGTATTGCTCGGGGCATTGTAGTAACAGATTCCTGGACGAGGGGTTCGACTAGATCAAGATTTTCATACCTTTTCAAGCCTTAGAACCTTTTCATTTAAAAAAAATCCACATCCAGGAATCCCTGCTCAAGGTAAACAATGCTCTACCACTAAGAAAACTGGCAATAAAATGGAACCTATGCTCATTATTCATTTATCGAAATACCAATGACTTTAATATATAAAGTCAAATTGACAAAAATGGATGTTCCACATTGTCCCAGAAAATTCCTCTCCTCATTGTAAATATAAAAAAGCTGACTTTAATTATACATATAACATTAATGTTTCCAACGTGCAAAAATTAAAACCTGAATTTCACAATTCATTGGACAGATGCTTTAAAACAAAACCAATGTCCAATGATTGGGATGTGACCATTTTTCTTTAAACCTGGCTGTAGGTGGCTTATCCCCCCATTCTTTTTCTCATAGTTTGAAAAAA